GGCAGATGGCATGGGGCAAGCAACCACAGGCCTTCGCCTAGCTGTGGTTTAAGCGCCACAACTTTGAGACACTCTCTCTGCGTATATGTGTGAGTGGGTGTGTGTGTCTGGGGCAGGTGTCAAGTTAGCGTGCGAGTTTTTCATTACGCCCAAAGAGCAGGCAACAGTTGACTCCTGCCACAGCGCTCAGTGGCTGTGGGATGGGTGGTCTGGGACCTCGTTTTAGGCCCTGGCGGCTGTCAGCAACAGGTGCTGTCGCCTTTAATTGACAGCTGGCAGGCATAAAATGTTTGAAATGTCGAAAATTAGAAAACTTTTAACAACAATTCAGGCAGCGACGTCGTCATTATTATCGGCATTGCCTTTGAAAGGCAACAACCCCCTCCGATGCCCATGTCTTGTGCTAGCCTTCTGCTGCAAAGTTTTTCAAGTGTTTGGGCACTTATCGCTGCCTGCCAGCCAGCCATTTTGATCAACTTCAATAATCCTTGTGTGTACGTGTGAGCGTGTGTGTGTGTGCTGCTTACCTTTAGATAAGTGCGCGCTTCTGCCTCATAAACGCCCCGCACGAATTCGATTTCATGCGGCCCGCTACCCACTCAACAGATGAGAAATGTGTCTCGTAATGTAATAAACTTTTTGGCACTGCCATAAAGAGTTGCTACACACACACACACAGACACGCGCACGCCGAGCAACAGTTCCTTAAATACATTTGCATGTGTATGTATGGTCCATTTCCGTTTTGACACACGTTATTGCAATATGGCGGCTTCCGTTGCCATTGCAGTGCTCTCTGTACGCCAGACAGTTCGACATTCGTTTCAGCTATTGCTGTTGTCGTTGTTGTTGTTGTTGTTGTTGTTATTACTGTGCGCATATACACGCTATGAATATTTTATGAGGCTGCGCTATATTCAACACACCCAAGTATAATAAACACAACACTATGCCAACAACAACAGCAACAACAGCAACAACATCATCAGCAGCAACAATGACTCTTATGCGCAACTGCGCAGCAATGACTTCCGTTTGTGTGGGATGGCCCGATAGTGGAAAGGGGGGAGGAGGTGAAGTACAAATAAAAAACACCAGTCAGCGCCCACAGCAGATTGCATTTGCGGTTCTCCGTGTGGTCAATGTAAATACAAATATATCTCTGTGTCTGTACGTGTGTGAATTTGTGTGTGTGCTCATGTGTGTGCTATAACGTGCGCTTATTCAAGCATCATTTACATGTAACTATGCATGCGTTTTTGTATGAGTATGTGTGTGTGTTTGTGCATGTGTTTGTATAACGCCTGTAGCTATGCACTGCATATTCGCATGCTTTTCACTTCCTTTACTTTCACTCTATGTCTCTGGCCTTGCTCGCTCTCTCCCTTTCTCTCTTTCTCTTTCTCTGTCTGTGTGTGTCTCTGTCTTTATTTTCACCCGTTTAATTAGTTTTATTTATGTTTATATTGCTTTAATTTGTTGTTCAGTTATGTACACAACAACAACAACAACAATAACAACAACAACACAATCAAGCAACTGTAAATATGCGAGTTGAATAATAAACTAAAGAGTAAAGATTCAATGCGTTACATATGTAGGCATTAGGCTAATATAACCCACTAAACTAAATACTAAGCTAAAACTTGTACAGCGCAGCCTTTTTAACATGCTTCGAGTTGTTGGCCCGTCGTAATTGGATCTATGTACTAATACTTCTCTCAACCGCAGGAGCAAATTGCACGGGAGAAAATGGTCAGCGGCCGTGTCCAAATACAGGTTTGGTATCATGCGGAACGCAGCGAATTGGTCGTATCCCTAATGGCTGGCGATGATCTAGCATTACGCGATGAGGCATACGGGCATGGCAATCTGCCGGAAGCATATGCCAAAGTACGCATATTGCCCAAGTGGTAAGTGTACCTCTTTATTTAGCTATTAAAGTTCTTATGCAGCAAACATCAATAATCTATAATTGTGACTTCATTACTTATTTAAAAATATACTCAAAAATAGACTCTACAGCATTTTCTTTTAGTTTTTTCTATTAATGCTGTATAATATATTTACTAACCTTTGATTATCCTCTTGCTACTGCAGCGGCGACGGCAGCGTGCAACAAACAGAGGTCAGTCGGCCCACTCAGAATCCCATTTGGAATGCAACCTTGACCTTTGCCCATGTGAAGGCCGACAGCTTGATGGATCGCTATATAGACATACAATTGTGGGATCTGGTGCCGCATACAGAGTCCATATTTCTGGGCGAATGCAACATTGAGCTGCAGCAGGCGTTTCTCGATGACCAGGCCATCTGGTGTCGTCTGGAGGACCCAAAGGGGCTGCGTGGCATTAGCATCAGCAAGTCGCCAAGCGTCTCGCCACGTGGCTCCATTGCTGCGGGTGCTGGCCATTGTGCCGACATGACACGTTTGCTGCGGCGGGATTACAATATGCAGCGCTCCATATCGGACGATGTCGATTCGATAGGGGACGGTGCATCATTGCTACATCCGGATCACGCTTGGATAGCGGGCTCGCGACGCGGCTCATCGCAATCAGAGACAATGGAAGTCGAGGTATACCAGCTGGGTAAGGACTTCTCGCGCTCATTGCCGGGCTCGCGTCGTTCAAGTTTTCAGGATGCCGAAAAGAATCGGCTGGAGGAGGATGCCATGGCCACGCCACCCACATCCTATCTTGTGGGCCGGCGTCGCTCCTCAGTTGCACGACGCGATCCGGATGAGATCTTGAAGTCCTTAAAAGCTGTACGCGGCGAGCTGGGACGCACCATGAGCCTGGGCACCGAACAGAACAAGCGCATGGGCTCGCGACGTAAGTATCGATACCAAGTAGCTTAGGTTAATTCTTTACCTTTCAGCTGGGTTCGGGATGCAGCTGTTATGATTTCATAAAAATAAAAGAGACCTTTCTCCAAAGTGTGCTCCTACAAAAACAAACTCTCTAGTGCTGTCATGATACCCCAACACTGTCTTTTTCTACCACACCTCTTTCTCTCTTTCAACACTCTCAGAACCTGCCTTGCTGTGCGTCTGGTACTATTTTCCGCCTCACTCTAGCAACTATATACTAACTATATAACTATACAGATATTTGCATTGGCCTCTATTTACAACTGTCTATCTAATTTCTTTGCTCTCCCATATCTTTCTCACTATTAGCCACAATATCGGTGTCGCATTATCAAAGCTTTGACACACCCTACACTAACTGGACAAACACTAAATGATAAACCATATCACACAATACTCAATTAACTAAGCAATAAGCAAATAAATCCCATTAATTTCCAATGATTAAAATATAATGCAAGCAAATATTAAAGAACTCTCTCAGCACCTGACACCTAAACTTCGTTGCCAAACCTAATCAAAAGCTCTCAACTACACAAACTCTAATATTCAATTTTAAAAACATTCTTTGCACGGCAATAATCAAATTAAATTAAATAACTAAGCCAGAAACCACAACAGCAACTAAGTAATCGAAAAAAAAAAAAACAAAAGTTTTTAAAACACCAAAAATCCCAAAAATCTTTTTTGTAAATTATACGAGACACATTGCAAAAACCACACTGCAAATTGAGCTTGGCAGCATAATTGTTTATGTTATTGCAAAAGAAAAAAGAATATATATATGTATACATTTATAAAACAATACAAACAACAACAGCAATGCAAAGCAAAAGTATTTAAACACACAAAAACCACGAACTCACCCACTGGTAAGAATGCAAAATGAACTTTCGTTTTGAGTTTGAGTTTTGTGTTTCAGTTCTGCCCGACTAGTGCTTCACTTTGGCTTATTTCAATCTCTAAAGGCTTTTAAAGAATTGTTAGTACAAAATTCTAGCCGCATGCCACTTAATTAACACACACTGAGACACACACAATTTACCTGTGCACGCTGCCTGGGCCTAAGAACTCCGCTTGCCACTCACCCTGCACAGCTTTTGGTATATTATTAAAGCCCACACCCACACACAAACACAGCCAAACCTTCACATACACACACATGAAAAAGTCCTGGGTTGCGCGTGCACAAAAAAGAACGGATAAGTCAAGTCCCAGGACTCGTGAAAACTTTTGATGCCATCATTTGGTTGAGCTTAATTCAGCTTATTGCTGTTATTTGCGCCAAGCAACAAAGCAGCCTCAACAAATTTTATTTAAAATGCAAAGCCACACACCCACACACATACACTCACACTCACGCCCAGCCAGCGAGCTGCCACGCCCTATTACCTGTTGGCTGACAACTCCTTGACGCCTGCCATGAACCCTTCCGCAGAACCGAAAAATAGCTCAGCCTTGAAATTAACTTTTAAAAGCAAGCGACACGCAAAATATGAAAAGCCGCATAAGGCACAAGCAAAAGAAAATCAAGCAGAAGAAGAAGCACACGATGTTAAGCAAATATTAAAGAAAAAGGGAAAACAACAGCCAAATGGGACGTCCTCTTGATGAGCCACAAACAAGCCTTTAAATATGGAAATCAGCCGCGGCCCCAACTTCGACTCCAACTTCTACTGCCCACAAATTGGGAGCTACGGCAAATGTTTGCGTGTTGATGTCACGAAAGAAAAACACGGCAAGAAAACCTACTAAAGAAAACTAAAGAAAATGGAATATTTTGTTTGAAACCGAAATGAAATATACAAAAGACCAACAAATTATTTTCATTCTAAAATAATAAATAAAAATGAAATGAAATACAGCGAAATTACAAGAGTCAAGAAAATTAGTATTGAAACGAATTCGTTACGTAATGAAAAAAGACGTGTTACTCAACACGAAAAAAACGCTGACACAGCTCTATCCTTAGATGCTGCGGCGGCTCAGCAGCTTGGCCTGTTTAGTTTTGGCACTGGTTTTCAATACATTTCGATCTACGGAAATTTATTTGGCTTCATATAATACACATGCACAAATACACGCACACAAACACACACCCACACACACACACAGCTCTAGGAAAAGTTTTGACATTTATTTTATTTTTAGTTAAAAGGGCATTGGTAACAAAAATCTTTGAACTCTCGCCATAAGCCCTTTTGCCACATTCTGTGCTGTGCGCTCAATTGATTGATTGATTGATTGACTGTTTGAATCAGCTGATAATGAAGCTGGACGCTCTCGACAACTATTATATAAGTATGCATATCACGTCACAGATACCGCCGTACTAGTAAAAATATATATTTCAATCATGTGCAAGTCCTTCGTTGGTAAAAACAATATGACAACGGCGAATCGCACAGCCAATGATTGTATTAAGAGCAAATTAAGTATACGCACCCTATGCAACTTACCCAAAAACAAGTGCAAAATAATTGAACAATATCAAGCAGTCAGTCCACATGAAATTGCCGATAAGGTGAGAGACATAATAAAATAAAAAACTTGATTAGCCAGATATTATCCATACGCACTGTTGGATGCTCACAACATATGAGCCGAGCACTTAAAAGCGGTTCACGCAATTCAGAGCCCGCAGCAGCTGTGCTAAATCGTATATGTCGTACGTAGTCCAGTACGGAAATGCAGCAGATACTGCAATTTCCGGACTGTCAAAGTTTGGAGGCGGAGCAACTTACCAATTGTAAAGAAATATATAGACAAAATGAAACCGAAAGCCAAACAAGTACAATACGAATAAGCATAGCCTGGTTGCCGCAGGGCCTTAGTTGCCAATTGTCTTCTTCGGTAGAAAGAAGATGAGCAAAATGGTAACTGCATAAAAAGAAGTTTTACAATATCAAGAATGTATGCACCATATGCATAGGCCACTTACTTGACATGCCCGCTACGTACACATTAAATGTTACAAAGCAGCAGCATTTCAGCGTATAGCCCATAAATAAGCTGCCAATCAGAACGCCAAAGCGACCACACATCATAGACAGGGCGACAGCTTTGCTTCTGCAGAAAAAAGGGTGTTGGAAATCTGTTTGAAATACGTCGCCTGACTCTTACCTCAAATGCGTGGCTATCACATCGATCAGCACAGTCAACGTCAATCGCATGCTACACAGCGGTGGCACAACGAGCAGGACAAATGCCAGAATGACCAGCTCATCGTGGATGACAAAGTTCAGCATGAAACCTGACAAACTGGAGAGAATCGAGAAGCACAACAGAATTGTCTTACGGTTAAGACAAATTAACAAGACGCTGATCATCATGAATCCAACCAAACAGGCGCTGCCATGATAAAGGGAAGCGAGCAGATTAGCTGTAGCCAAATGGCACTAGAAATTGGCTATCTTAAGTTCTGGTCAAGCGCACTGATGAAACAACGAACCTTGGAAACGCCCGTACTGGCATTCTGAGCGGCATATTCTTTTAACACATCACAGAGTACCATACTATCTTCGACTTCGCTTGTCATTTTGAGAACGCGCGGCATCCAAACCGTCAGGACAGCGCCGCTATAAATGTATATTATTATTTATATAGATATACACGTGAGAATACCCGACTAGAAGCTACTCTGAACCCAAGAACAAGCTGCCATTACGAACATTCCAAGATTCTTCTCTTAGAATCGACTATGTTATCATGATGTTATGAGATTCCGTAAATAGGTAAACTAATACGAGATTATATACATTCTCCCTAGTTATATTCAATATATTCAATAACTAAGCAGAAGAGCAGATGAACAGACAGACTGGCATAGCTTACTCAACTCATCTTGTTGCACAGATCAACAATGTATATGCCTTATGGGATTAAAGTCCGCCTTGTCAGCCAAATAACTATCGACTATGAATGACCTGATACTCACGTGGCAAACATAAGAAACATAATTCCAATAACAATGAGCATATAGCGCACATTGCTGCCTTGCAGCAGGGGTTTCGTATCTTGCCAGACACGTCGGAAAAAGCTGTGGAATAGATAGTTATTTTGAGCAAAAGGTGCAAGGTTGCTCGTTAAACTTACTCACTTCTTATCAGGGACCAGGGAATCACGGCGAAGATTTGACTGCGTTACAGATTCAATGCCCAGACTCTTCAGCGTTACATTCTTACCCTTGTTGTATCGACAGCACATCTCCAGGGCGTCGAGAGCCTCTTGCGTCTTCTGGACAGACAAATAGTACTTGGGACTTTCGGGCATGGGCAACAGCATGAATAGGGAAATCATGCCCGGCAGCAGATTGGTCATGCTGAGCACACGCCAGCCGCTAATCGCATAGTCGCCGGATATCTTCAAGTTTATTTCATACGGCAATATCAGCATCGCAGAAGCTGTGCGTGGAGCCGGAACAGTAGGCATCTCTTGATACGAGCAATGCGCTTACCTGGCACATACATCATGCTGACGCCAACGGAATAGCACATAAAATTGAGCACCATGGGCCGCAGCTTTATCTTGGTGAACTCGCCCATGTACGTGAGCAGCGCCATGCCAGGACCTGTAAGACTGTTAGACCGAGAATAAATGCATGAAATATTAGCAACAAACGAGAGACTTACAAGCAGCCCACGATGAAGCGCATCACAAGGAACGACCAGAACTCTGGCATCAGCGATGATATAAATGAGGTCAACATGGTCAGTGTTGAGGTGATGACCAGCAGCTTGCGGCGCCCGATCTCATCCGACTTGTAGCCCATATAATGGCTGGTGCAGACCTGCGCCATCAGCCCTGCGGTCATGAGCCAGGACAAGTGATGATCACCGATGTTAAGCTCACACCTTGCTGCCACAGTTATCAGCGAGATGCCGAACTGCTCATTGGTCACATAAAACTGTTGCATTGCACAGCCAAAAAATATAATCAGTTGCATGCGGCCAAAGCCTGTGAATGCCACGGAACACAGAACTAAGAAACTGCAACCGCAGATCGAAATGCAGCACACGCTTACCAAGTGTATTGAACACATCGTCAATGTCCACATCGGCCATATTTCACTAGAGAACGTATTGGAGCAGCCCTTCACAAATCTGAAGCCTAAGAGAAAGTAATCAAAAGAGAATTCAAGTTTTCATGGGGCAGTTGAGAATTCAGCTTAATGTTTAAAAAAGTGCACATGCTTTGAATTGGAATAATCGGAAATAAACCACATTCTGTAGACCAAATGACAAACACAGCTTAATTTGAGTTTAAAATTCTAAATAGAAAATAAAAATGTTAGTGTAGTAAATAAAAATTGTACTGTCAATATAAAGCACACAACTCTTACACAAACACATACATATATGTTTTTATTATATATATTCAAATAACACGCATACGCACTGTTTATTTCTTAGCTGTTGTTTTGCATGTTTGTTTTGTATAGCTTAAAGCATTTCTCTGCCCTTAGACCTTAGACTTGGTATTAGACCATGCAACACTCTCTTCATACTTCGCCCAGTAAACCTTGAATACATTGAGTTGGAGTTGGAGTTTCATTCAGTTGAGCCACCTGCAGTCCATGACAATGCCGAGTTGTATTAATTTAATTTGTGCTTGTCGCATCCCTTGCTGCTGCAGGTGCCAGCCGTGCTGGCCTGCCCAGTGGTCCCAACAGTCGCAAGAGCTCCATACAGGATCTGTCGCAGCAGCAGCAACAGCAGCAGCAACTGCAACAACTGCAACAACTTCAGCTGCAAAACTTGCAGCTGCAGCAACAACAACATCTGCCGATTGGCATTGGCACAACGGAGACCAGTCCGCCGTCTGATGATGAGGACAAGCGCTATCGTCCACGCTGGAAGGGCTCGGGCACACAGCTGCCACCGCAGAGCGCCAAGCAGGCATTGTCCAGGCTAAAGCAAGCCGCCTCCGTCTCGAATGTGGCACAGGAAAAGCAGAGCCAGCTGTTGGGCAGCAGCCTGGGCGACAGCAGCCAGCAGCAGACGCTGCGCAAGGGCAGCATGGTCAATTTGCGTGGACAGGATACGCTCAACGCAGGCGGACAGCTGCAGCAGCAGCGCAAGGGTAGCATGTTTCAGTTGGGTGAGGGGCATGCCCCACAATCGCAGTCGCAGTCGCATTCGCTGCAGCGCAAGGGCAGTGTCTATGTGCCCTCTGCCAGCGATACGCCACCCATGGGCACGCCCACACGCAAAGGCAGCATCTATCAGCGGACCAGCACGGAAAGCGGCGACAGTCCACAAAGAAAGGGCAGCATCTATCAACGCACCAGCACGGACAGCGGCGACAGCCCACAGAGGAAGCAGAGCGTGGTGAAAACCCTCAGCGGCAGCTATGTCAACGTCTCGGCCATCACAGGCAGCGAGTCCAGCTATGGGCTCAAGTTGGGCCCCTCCCAGATACATCCCAAGGGCTATCGCCTGACCACGGCGCGATATGGCGAGCTGAAAATGGGTTTCGTGAAAATTAAAGGCAACGTCGAGGTGGAGGTAAAAGAAAGCTGTTGCGTTTTAATTAAAGCACTGGAAAATATATACCTAATCAATGGCATTTTACATTCTCACAGCTGATTTGTGCACGAAACATTGTCAACGCGGACTGCGAGACACCGCCAGACACCTACGTCAAATGCTACATCAAAGACGGGGAACGTTTGCGGCACAAGAAGAAGACGCGCGTGGTGCGGCATGCCGCAGAGCCAATCTACAAGCAGACCATCAAGTATCAGGTGAGCAAATGGGCCATCAATAAAGCGGGACAACTCGCCGATGATGACTCAAATGGCGATAAGCACTGACGCTGGCCGTCAGGTCCATGTTGTTGCAGTTATTGGTTGCATTTTAATGCGATTAATGGCGGCCAATTTGCAGCAGACTGCGCTGTGCGTGTGTCTCCAGCGCGTGAATACAATGCAAATAGGCCGACAGAAGACGGTCGGGTGCCAGCGACTAACTGATACTCTGTACACAGTTGAATTAAAGGTAGAGTTAGCTTAAAAGAGTCTTCTTGCACGAACAAACTGTGCCTTGGGGAACAACTCTTGCCAACTCTTGCTCTATGACTGTAGAAGATAATTGACTTTACTTGAAAATGCATTAATTACTAGCAGACAGCCAGACGTGTAAACGGACAGTGCATAAAACAAATATACTCTTTTGACTTTATGAACAGTGTATAAGAAGCATGTAAGCATTGGCTGCTTCTGCTGTACATTTATTTATATGTATATTTCCCAGTAATTACACAGAGTGACATTAATGCAATTTGTATGCAAATAAACTTTACTTTTAAACACGCACACCCACACACACACACACACTCACACATACACACGCTCATGGACACTTACACGCACAGAGCTCTGATGTCTTTGGCCGGAACATTGTCATAATGGTATGGCAACGATGTGTGGGCTTCGAGCACAACCAGGGCCTAGGCGGCACGGAGGTGAATCTGGACAAAGTGAACATTGGACAGCACATCAGCGGCTGGTATCCGCTGTTCCCCATGCACAGCTACGGCGGCTCGGATTCGGATAATTCCCCTTGACCGAACACGCGAGCGTGCGCGACAAACGAAACAATAAAAATGAAATGCATAACACCAATATTTAATGATATGCTATTGCTTAAAGTAAACGCTCAATTTGTTAGTACTTAAGCTGGGCCATCCGAACAATTTGTTGTTTAATCGAAGTTTTAATCCCAAGCCAAGCACCAATAATTCCCACATAAACATATATATAATCATATATATATCTATGTATGTCCCCAAAATAGTTTTAGTAGTTAAATGAGCTTGACAGCGTTTTGGATGTGTTAAAACATTATGGTGCGAGAGCTTTGTAGGTACAGTAAGGCAACACTATGGCAAACAATTGCAGGCACAATAATTGAGAAACCGGAGTACCAGAACGAACAGACAGATATATAGAAATACGAATTATACAACAAATCGAAAGAAAAGAAAACAAAAAAAAAAAATGAATCAAATATATATTTTTGCTTGTTGTTGTTGTGTTTGTGAGTGTTTAATGCATGTTGTGTTTGTGGCACGCGCAGGAAACGCAAAAATCCAATAAAACAAATCGAAAATTAACAATAAAGTCGTAAAATGCAAGGCAACGAAGAGGCAAGTAAATCGAAAGCATACGCTACAGGAAACCTAAAGTACACTAACTTATATTAACAAATATATTCAACTAAATGTTTGCTAAATGCGCTAATTAATCACTTTTCAGAAGTCAGAATGGCGAAACAATTTAAACAGTTAAAACCAGAGCTAAATAAGCCCGCGAAGGCTTCAAACTGCAAGACACACAAATCGAATGCAAAACTAAACGCTAAACTTTCTCAGTGTATAAGATATGAAAAAAAAAAAAAACACTCGAACGATATCAAGTGAAAAACATATACAACTAAATTAATATGACAATCTTCTTGTGTATGTGTGTGCGTGAGCGAGAGTGTGTGTGTGTGTGTGCGTGAGCGACTAAAGCGTGATTAAGACGAATTTACTGTAGTCATTTTTTCGGTAGTCAGTGTGGTAGGCGCAACACAACACTTTAAGCATTTTGCTTAAATGAAATCCTCAACTTCCTTCCTGTCCCGCTTGCCAGCCACCCATTTGTATTTTCCCAGAACTTGCAGCTTCACATTCGACTTTCGACAGGACAATCTCTTGTAATGAAATACTAGGAAACAAAAAGGTTGAACAAAACAAAACACGTCTTTTTGTGGGCTTGCAAACAAAACCAACGTTCAACTTATCGACTTGGAGTTTCAAACTTGGCAAAAATTATATGAGAAACAAAACAAAAATTGTCTAAAAAATATTTACTATCTCTAGCATATACTGGTGTCATATTATAAATTCTAAACTAGACTACATTTAAGCTTTGAAAAATCTTCAACTTTTTACTCTCTACTAACTAAAACCCTCTAGGAAAAAACAAAAAAAAACACCCGACTATTTCTACAAGTGCGACAACTTTTTAACGTTAGTTAGCAAAAGGACTTCAAACAATTTCACATGGTACTAAAGAAAAAACTATCAAAATTCTATATACTCTACTACTCCTAGGTATTAATTATATATTGTTTTTGTTTTCGAAAACCCCCTAATTGCTAAGATTAAGAAATAATCTATTTGTCATTGTGCAACTACTTAAGTAACATGTGCATATATGCTATATATATATATATGTAATTTGTCCAGGTAGCCAGGGTAAAACCTTCGAGTGGTATCGGTAATAAAAAACATTTCAGTTCAAATAAATATTAAATACTCTTTACATTTTGGCTGTTGACCTTAGCTCGAGAATCAGTTCAAAAATATTGTTGTAAAACGAAAGGGCGACAAAACGAAATGTTTTGAAACGAAATGAAAGGAAACGAAACGAAACGAAACGAAAACTAAAAATTGGTTGTGCTTTGAGAAATCTATTGTAATCATTGTTGAACTCTATTTTCTATAATGGCTGTAAAAGCTTTAAGATATTTTCAGCTAAACTTAAGTATCTTAATACTAACTATTGCTGTAACTGAAACTTAAGTCTATTTGATCAACTTTGTACGATCTGTACTTTAACTATTAAACCTACTATACCTATTACCTGTTGTTAATTGTAATTGAAAGTACTCTGAAAAGAAAAACACTGTAAAAATAACACCATATCAACGTGTAGCGTTGAGGACAAGGATTAGCAAAGATTAAGGACAGCGCTTTAAAAGTGCAGAGTGTGTGTAGCATGGCTGACGATTATATGAAAAGGATAACTTAACTTTAACAATTTGTTAAAAATAAGTAATTACTTGCATTAAACTATTAAATACAATATATATATATATAGACAGATGTGAACAATATGAACGTACATATATGCGGATATATACAAATATTATAATTAAATGTAGCAAAACCAAAAACACCCACAACAATATGTATATCAAATTGAGTTTCAATAAACATACAATATTTATTTGAACAGCGCTGTGTTCTTATTATAAACGTAGAAATTAGCAATTGGTTCAATCTTGAGGAAATTTCTGCTAATTCGACTATTTGGAATGCATTTATGGGATCTGTTCTAACTGGATTTGCAATCAAGAATACGTTCAATTTGTTCTTAGAGACGTGTTCGTGCTATAGCAATTACCTTTCAATTACCTACCAGAGACAACCACCACGTTAAGTTTCAGTGGGCCGTCCTTAATAAATTTGGCACGAACCACTTCAGAATAACCGGCACTGTAAATAGAAAGGAAATTATGTGCATATTGCGTACACAATATGTCCAATCATATATAACAATCAGCCTTCAATGCGACTTACCAGAGACAAGCACCAAACTGAGTTTCAGTGACTCAAGATTTTTGTCAGCCACCATGTCGTTGACTATTTTTCATATCTGTGGCAGGAAGAACGTCAAAATCGCCACCACTGTAAATATAAAAGAAATGATGCACATATTACGTATACGACCCGAGTGCAGCACTTACCCAATGCAAATATCACAAAGATATTGAAGGTTACCAGGCAGAAGGGGACCATCCAGTTGCCAATAATAGCGCTGGCAATAACGACCGATAAGCGCGCGAACATATAGCTCATATTGATAGCCATGCCCCTGAAAATATATAAACATACGGTATATATACAGATCTGACAAGTGTATTAAGCAATCTGTGCTTACCGCAAATGCGTGGGCACCACAGCGCATAAAACAGATGATATCAGTGGAATGCTGCTGGCTAACAGCGAACTGAACATCACCATCGCGATAAGGATGGGCACATGAAGCTTCAGGAAATTTAGGCTAAAACCGCATACTGTTGCGATCATTGCATACAATAGCTGAATGTAAGAGTTGCGCACCCAAATCAGCAGCAGGCTGATTAAAATGCAACAGCCAAGGAAGGCGCAACCCAGGATTATGCCGTCGATAAAATTGGACGCATCGTGTGAGCATTTTGAGGTGGAATGCGAGGTTTTCGTGTACTTTATCATGTCGCAGATGATCATATTGGAATCAGACATGTTGTGACGTAGCTTCATGAACCATAGCGTGATGCCATTGCCCCTGATGGAGAGAGAACGTGGTAGCTATTGGACAAGAGTCATCCCGCATAAACTCACACAAAAAAATAGCCAGACAGAATGATGGTACAGATCAGAAAGTTCTTCAAATATGGTCGCTTAAATAATGGCACCGTATCGTACCATAAACTTTCACAGAAATTTCGTTTAACTGTGCTTTCGGGTAAATCTGCTTGAAACACGCCGGTTATGCCCAGGCTCGCCAAGTCCTTTCCTCGATTCTTTAAACAAAGCCGATCGAGAGTCTCGTAGGCGCGATCCACTTTTCCTACGGATAGTAAAAATTTCGCTGTCTCGGGTAGAATCCACATAAGGGCAATTGCTAAAAATCCAGGAGTCGAATTAAGCAGCATATTAAGACGCCAAGCACGCAGATGAAAGTTACCCCAGCTAAAAAGTATGCGATTGAGCGGACTGAGAAAATGGGACACAACTGCAGACGGTAGAAGTCAGGTGGAGAGTCGAGTCTTGAGAAATGCTACTCACCTGGCACATAAATAGCACCGAAAGCAAAAGCAAAACACATTATGTTGACAACAACAGACTGCAATTTTACTTTGGTAAATTCCGATATATATGTAATATTATTGACGCTAACACCAGAGATTCTGTGGGCGAGAGTAGATATCGATCAAGTACAAGCGAGCCAAAAAACTTAGCCGTACCCACAATAGGCCCGTCATAAATCTCCAAAATAGAAAAAAGTAGAAACTTGGCATTAATATGGAAATGATCGATGATACCATAGCCAAGACCATGGAATATAACATAATTGTACGCCGTCCAATCTTATCCGTCAAGTAGCCCGAATAGTGTGATGTCAGAATCAGGCCCGCAAAAGCGGCAATAGACAGCAATGAGAGCTGATTATTACTCAGCGAAAACTCACAGGCTATGTCAACGGCAACCAGACCCACGCCCATGATCTCGTCATTAAGAAATACGCAAGTCAAACTGCAGGTAAATACCATCAGCGCTTGCATGCAACCGAAGCCTGTGAGAAAATGCTGCATGTCCTGCAATTGCTGCCTGGTAAAACCAATAAAGCCAATAGTTACCAATCTCATCCAGGACATCGTCTACATCCGCGACGACCATCTTCGGTGCTAACTAAAAATAGTGTTTAAAAATATGTATAATATAATACAAAAATTTAAATTTGACATTTAATACTTATACAATTCCTGGGAAACTTGGCTTTAAATCCTTGGTAGGTAGTGCGCGTTTTTAACTACAGATGACGGCTGCAGATTTTTTTTAAGTTTAATCCAAGACAAACACCACACACAACTCTCAATTTGTAAAATCAAATTAGTTTAAATTCATTTTATTTTCTTTATTGTTAATTACATATGTTGTCATGTGTTCGCCCACAGGTCGAACAACTCCCACATATGACACCATTTGCCACATTCATTTTGCTCAGCTCTCAATTCATGTTCAAACACTTTCTCATATATCAGCAAGTGTATAAATTATATAAAGTTAAGAGTTTTGGAATTGTTTTCAGTGCGCTCGCACTTCGTTTCAGTTTCAATCAAGTAACCGCGCAATTGCAAGGATCAAAAGTTATAAAGCTTTACTTGATTTAAGGTTGGGCAAAATTAATAATTACGAAAGGACAGCTTCTCCAACATATTTACAGCCTGATTAGGTTTCTATGCAGGCTGCACACAAACGGACACGTACAGTAGAGACTAACTAACTAAGCATCTAATTCACTTGCCAGGCCTCTAAAAAACGTTTACTAAGCCGCAGACTTTTCACTTTTGATTACGGTTATTAATATATATGCTCTTTTTCGTTTTTCCATATCATATATATGTATATATAGTATATATTATGTAAAGTATAAATAAATGTATTGCAAAGTGGCGTCCAACATAACAAAAGGTAGCGCCGCCCGGCTTTGCATTTGACTTAAGCCTGAAAAGTAGTCAACTTAAATAACTAAAAGGGCCCTAAAACAATATTAATTTCGTATTTAATGAAATCTTGTGTTTTCTCATTTTCATCGTCTCATTGTCTTAACATATAGTATCTGTGTTTTTATGTGGGTGTGGGTGTGTATGTGTGAAAATGTACAAGGCAAAAGCAATACAAAAATTATTTAGGTATAAAATTATAATTATGTTTTTGTTTTTTGTTTTATGCATAATGCGTAAAGTAAAATGTACAATTGTTGCTATTCCATATATAACAAGCTAGCTCGCTCTTTGCTTTCCAATTCGCATATGCCTCATGCCTAATGCAAAATTGTCATAACTTTTGCTATAAGTAAATCGTTAAGGAGGAGACTTTCTTCAAATGCGGTCAATGGAAGTATTTCTCTCCTATATTAATTATTCTTTATAGATTTATCAATGATTGAAGGTGCGTTTTAGTGTATTCTTTTTTTATCTAATAGCCACAATTACTGTTGCTTTTCTTGGTCAGCTCGAAAAGTAGCAGGTGCCATTAAATATGAAATGTGATTATAAAAAATAAATCTAGTAAGCATATTGCTAAGTGCGTTTCCATTTTAATGCTTTCAATCAATATGTTTACCAGCTTATTTTTCATGACGAATGTGGAAAATGTATGTGCCATATAAATTACATTTTATATATATGTGTATATAAATAGTTAATACATGATTGTTATACTTGTAGTTCTGTTGTGAAAAGGGAAACGTTTCATTACGTTCGCTTACATTAGGTGAGGTCTTTTCGTGGGGTGCACATATGTATATTTTTTTGTTATATGTGTGTGTAGCTATGATTAGTGACCGTATTTTATATAATATGTTGTTCTCTACTTTATAATCAATGCAATTTTAAATCAAGGTAAATATACAAACACTGTGTAAAGAAATGAAAATTTTTAGCTTATCTTAAAACGAATGTACATGGTTGTGCGTTAGAAGTGTATGTGTGATAATTGGTATGGTATTCATGTTTTATGGCTGTCCAGAATAACGCAAAGTTATGACAAAAGTACACAAATGTATGGAACATATGCAAATGCTGTTAAGTAGTTAACATTTAAAACTGCCTGCCTCCTCCCTACTAGAACGAATCTAAGCAAAGAGTGTGCACTCAATGTAACTCGTGGGCACAAAACCCTCGTCCCAGCCATTTGAATTGTTCGCTCGCCGCACACGCGTCCAGCCATCACCCTGATCATTTTCAATCACTTGCAGCTCCTCGCCTTCGTTCATGGGTATGCTGCCTTCGCTGGTAGCTGATGGGAGGCAAGATAGACAAGTTAATTAGATAAGAAGGTTTCTTCATAAACACGTTTGAGGACTTACCTTCAAAGGGATACAGCGCTCGACATGTGCCTAGGGGCTGTAGCAGTTCCACCTCGGTTTCGTAGGTCGTCTCCTCGCCAGCGGCATTTTCATTGGCGCTGCCCTGTCCGGAGCCGGGCAGTGACGTGTGCGAGGTGCCTAGGCCGCTCTCGGGACTTGCCGAACTGCTGGATTTCACCATGGAAAGGCAAAATGAAACGAAATATTTGAAGAAGTTGCGATTTGGACATTATTACGTGTTATATGTATGATGTAAGCAATTAAAAATCAATAAGAACTAAAAGTAATTTAGATAATTGAAAGCAAATTAGATGAATTAAATATAAACTTTGTTTCTTTGGCATATTGTGGACTTTCTTTTTTAGTGGGCAATTTTTTCTATTACTTAAAAGTTTCGCTGATGACAAATCATACGTGCAAAATATGAGCAAACGGAACCAACACCATAAAATGCCACCAAAATAAATTGAAACAAAACCATGTACAATGGAAATGATACAAAAATGAGTAAGTGAACGAGCCAAATCATACGCGAATATACGGCATACAATAATGTATGAATGTGTAAGTGTGTGACTGTGTGTGTGTGTGTGTATGTATTAATGTGTAGCTGAGTGAATATATAAACATTGAACGTAGACTTATGAGTGTACCCGTTATTGTTATTATTATGCCCATTTTGAATTTGCGCCACATTATCCTCAGAATCTGACCTGCTTAAGCTGCCAGCATCATCGGGCTGATCATCGCCATCATGATGATCATCAGCGCTGGCGCTGCCATTGGAATGTCTGCAAAAGAAAACATTAAGAAATGTCACGTTAAATGGACATCATTAGCTAGGTGGCTTATTGAAGTACTCACCTGGATGTTCGGTGTCCGTTTTGCAATTGATTACGATTCGATTGCGGACTATTGTTGGCCACCTGCAGCTGATTAGCCTTGTCCAAAAAGCCTTGATATTTTTTCAAATTCACTTTCAGTTTTTCCAATTCATGTTCGGATTCGTTCAGTTGTCCCTCAACAGTCATCGGATTGCCCAGCGATGAGTTCGCCTCATAAACGATTTTCATTTTCATTAGGCCATCACGTGTGTTCGTCTCCTGATCAACCTTATGCTGCAGCTCGGCAATTTTCGCCTGCAGTTTTTTGCGCTGCTGATTTGGTGGCAGATCGCTAAAGTCCTCCTTTTGGCCGTCCGCAGTTAGTGAATTCTAGATATGAATTCAAAAAGCATTAGTTGTTGGGCTCAAAAAATCAATACATACATATACATATGCATATATATGTTATATATATATATGGTATGTAGAAGTGCAATGAGTACTATACAAGACAGAAATGACGGAACAACAATTTTAACAAACACATTCACAACGATTAGCAGACGCCAGTTGTTTACACAGATAGGGTATACAAAATAAATAGAAACCTTAACGGAAATTGAATAGAGTTTCCAGAAATGTAATGAATAGAAAATAATTAGTAAAATAAATATCAGAATAATCAAACAGCATGTCGCAAAAAAAATTAGAACAAAAAACATGCTTGAATTTGTAATAAATTATTGATAAATTTAAACAAAAGTTAATTATATTTTCTGCAGTGTGTGAGTGTGCTGCTGTGGCATGTTGCTAACTAACCAACTATTTAATTAATCTTCGCATATAATATTAATTATTATATTTAATTTAATAATTTTTAGTTTTAATGTTGTACTTAAGGTTAGGTGTTCAAAGTGAATGTAACTCAGTGAAGAGGCTAAATAAATTGCGCTAGTGTTTGTTGATAATGTTTAGCAGTTGTGATTAGTAGTTAAATGCTTATTAGTAATTGATGTTAAGAGCAGTTAGTTAGTTAGTTAGAAGAGCTGGAATTTACATCATACCTTCATTGTGATACAAGCTTCAATTATCTGCCGTTGCTATTGGCAGCGAATTGATTGATTATTGATTTATTTAACATTTATTTTGTTTACATTGAAAACGTATCACATTTTGTTTTCGTTTTAGTTTTTCCGAGTGTGGGTGTGGGTGTGTATGTATGTGTAAGTAAAAGCATGTTTTTTGTGTTAGAAAATTGTATGACAGCAACAAATATGCATAAAAGAAATTAAAGAATTAAATACAATTAATATTTGTGAACTGTTCATTGTGGTTGTGTCTGTGGCGAATTTTCAATAATAATGGAAAAGCGAGTGAAAAGCGTAGGCAGCCAATTGTTGCATAACTAATGTAAAATTTGTTTTAATAATTGTCAAACAGAGACATAAAATATACAAATTCGTATGCAATTGTTAAATGTATGTTTATATAAGGTGTTGAGTATGGTATATATATTGTATATGAAAGACTGCAACAATCATTGTTTGGTTTAGTCGACATGTAAGACATGAGATGGGAGGACACGAAACGAAACGGCGCTGAGCTGCCTGGGGTAGGTTGGACAGGCAGCTGGACACTTGGTACTTACAGCAAGGTGGAACCAACGTCCATATGTTTCGTGACATAAATTAAAGAAATGGCATAACGATTTTTGTTTTTGTTTTCGATAAATGAAATAAGAACAGAAAAATAGAGACGGCATGAGTAAAACTATAATTAGAAGACACAAAACCTACTACTTAAAAATTAACTTAAAACTAATCAAGAAGCATCGGAAACACAAGAGGCAATTGTTGTGCTGACTGGTAGAATCTCTCGCAACAAACAGACACATCGAGAGAGTGAGAGAGAGATAGAGAGACAGTGTGTGCCAGGCAATGATAGAGATAGGATAGAGACATGAACATAACAGAGGATCACTTAGAAAGAAATAAAATAAAACGGCTTGAAGAGCTTGCAGCTAAATTGTAAACCTGAACCAGAAGCGGGAATCGCCAACGACTGCTCTCACCTTGTTGCTGCCAAAGATGCTGTTCAAGATGCCGCCACGGGCCTTCTTTAGCTTGGCGGCGGTTAGCGTGCCGCTCTTAATGGTCAAGTGATTGTAGGGAACACTGCTGTAGTTGGATTGCGGCACTGCGCTGGGGTCCATCTTTGACAAATCCTCAAATGGTATGTCCGTTGGTGGTGTGAAGCCCGATTGATATCTGAAATGATAAAAACGTTTAGTTAAGCCCGAACAGAAGTAATTCGAGTTTTTCAAGCAAACCTCTCGATGACTTTTAACGAGTCTTCCGTCTCGTTGATGGATTCGCCGGCCTTGACAATGCCTTCCATGCAGCGCGCAATTATAGGTGCCACCGAGGACTCAACGTCCGCGGCACCAATAATAAACTCGCGTATGCCACGCGTACGCTTCTCGTCCAGCTCCTGCAGCCGATTGAAAACGGCGGGCAATAGTATACCATAGTGTTGCTGTTGGAGATTGTTGGTCTTCTGCAGCTGATTGGCGTATTCGTTCTTTGCATCATCCGACTGCTGTATTTTGGACGTCATAATGTTCTTGTAACGCTCCACTTCGGCGCGACTCAGATTGAAATCCATGTCAGCCTTCTTGTAATTCTCAACAGCCTTCTCCGAATCCCTATAGGCCTTGTCATAATTTCGCTTGGCGCGCTCTAATGACGAGAGCTGTGCGCTGAGGGCCTGTTGCAGCATTGTGCCATCGTTAAGGCATTTCTATAGAAAGATGACAGATGAGAGTATGATTAACAACATATATAAACAACAACAACATATGCAAAGTTCAATAGACATTACCTTGCGGTCCTCTCGCAGTGTTTTCGATAGCAACGTCACACCCTGGATTATCTGTAGCTGCAGGGTCTCGGACACCACCTCACGCTGCCCCGCCAAGTCGCCCACCTCCTTGAGCAGATTGCGGAAAGCTTGCCTCGATGTAAATCTGTAAATAGCAGGCCAGGCAATCAGTTAGTTAACTGGGTTTACAGTCGACCCACGCCTTTTCGCGCCTTCGGCTACAAACTACTTCCAATGTCTGTCCCGAAGCACCAAGACCAAGACCAAGAGCCGAACACTGGCTAAGGCGATTTATGGCCCTCTTATTGGACACGCGCTTTGTGACGCGCACTGAACACCCACGCGACGCTGTCGTCGCCACAGTCTGTCTGCCAGTCTGTCCGCCAGTCTGTCAATCCGCATATGGTATAGTTCCAGGCCGAGCGGCAATCATGAATAAATATATGGATTTTACAACTGTATAAGGCGAAACGTCAAGCGATCGAGAGAGCTGCCTGGCATTTCATTACCAACTCTTTAACTTGGACGCAACGGCTTCATTGTCATATTACAAATGCCAGCAAAGATTTGCGCCGAGCTATTTGCGAGCCATGATGTCAGGCGGCCGCAAATTGTATGGAATGAATGTAATTAAAACTGAGTGGCAGGCCGCACAATATTCTCAGACCACACATGGAACATGTGGACCCTAAAGTGGCTACAATCATGATTCCCCTACGAGTCTCTCTTACAAAAGAAACGCCACAGACACGCAATTGGTTATATGAGAGTCATCGCTAGCGTTGGCCAAAATTAACACTTAACACGTTGCTAACATGTATGCCAAACAGCAAATCGCTCAAATTATGGATAATTTTCCAAAAGATTTAACAAACTTTTGCGCAATCGTATTAAAGAAAACCATCAACAATTTTGGGAATACCCTTCAAAAAGCGTAGTACAGGGCATAGTCATTTTCATGGAGCAGCATGTAAGAAGTATAAAAGTTTGGATTCCATTTCTGGAATGGAAAAAACCCAGCTCACAGAAATCAAATTTTCAGTTACAGGGTATACTCAACGCTGAGCTGTTGCAATTAACTTCTCTTTTTCTTACAACTATATTTAGTTTTTATATTTTTTGTGCTTACTCATTGTCTTCCTCCTCCTTCTTTTTGGGCTGATAATTTTTCACTAAGCGCCTGTAAAAAGAAAATCAAAAGAGCATGGCATTAGTGAAACTTTGTTTATGCATAGAGAAAGAAATAACAATAACAACCACTATGTATAACTATTATTACAATAATAATAATAACAACAGCGCCAAGTTAAAACATTTGCATTAACACGAGACTTTTCATTTCGGCATTGCGGGACACGCGAAGCACTCTTCAAATTTCAGTCTACCCGGCCACAGATTTCTGATTTCACTAACTACAATATGGATATATACATATGAATATATATATATTTAATATACAGAGAGTGTTTTTCAATCAATGCGGCCGCATTTGTGGTCTAGTTGGGCGCCTGGGAAGAGACGCCGCCAACGCCGCGTCGCAATGATAATGTCATTATAAAGGGCTCAGACCGTACAGTAGCTGCAGGCATATCAGGCACAGTTCAGCTGGTTCAGCTCAGTTCGGTTCAGTTCAGTCAGTCATCAAGCCAACTCTCGACTCATTTTGCGGCATTCAAATTGTGGGAACAGACGCCACCCCATTGAGAAATATAGTTTTGAAAAAAAGCGGCAGCTAACGATAACCACGTTGCGAGACAGCGTTCCCAAGTGCTCCAACAACTTGGCCCAAAGCAGCAGCAGCCGCAGCAGCAGCAGCGGCGACGTCGGCGGTTCGAATCTTCAAGCAAATTATACAATTATGACGCCCAGTTGCAAGTACATACAGCCTGGGCTCGGCGTTGCCCAAGCTCAATCATATTTAATGGACAGCATTATCAGCTATACCCCACACCTCTCCAGCGCGCGCATCACTCTTAGTCGCGTGTCAGTTGCGTGGGGCAGGTCGCGGTCATCTCTTGTTTATTCAGTTGTCAATCTATTGCGCAATTTAGCTGGCGAGCTGGACACAGGCATGCGCGCATATTATTGGGGTGGGTACCAATGCGCACACCCTACATACCCGCTCCCTACACACAGCCCGCCCATACACGAGGTGCGGCGCAACATTCTCGAAATTGAGCCCATGTTGTCGCTTGTAAAAGGGCATTAATTGAAGTGCGGCGCAAAAGGCGTGCATATATCTTTATGAGCGCTCTCTGCGCTGGCCACACAGCATATAATTAGTTACTTATTATATATATATAACCCGTCTCCCCTCCCCCCGCGCCATCAGTCAGTGCAGCTCAGCTACTGCTCAGGAATGGCCATTGGACACAATGCACCGGAGCACAATCTCTAGAACTGGCTGACCTTGTGCTTATTTCATATTTCAATTTATATATATGAAAAAAAAATAAACTTTATATTTATGAGAATTGCACTCGCGTTCAGTTTAATGTGTCTTGTTTTTTGTAAGGAATTGTTTGTTATTTACTTGTTGTTGTTGTGTATTTCTTTTTTGTCTTGACAGACCCGCAAACGGGCGAGGCCTTTGCCAGCAAACCGTACAAAAAATCATTTAATTGACGTACAAATGTGGGCATTAAGTGGCGCCACATGATTTACACATTTTTGGGAGGCTTTAAAAGCATTTGTAATTACAATTATTTTCCAACATTTTTTAATAAGATCTCAACAAATGAGATGTTCAGTTTGGGCTACAAATGTTTATATTATCTCAAGTATTTTCCAGCTAAGTCTTAGTCTGTCCTTATTATGATAATTATCTTACTTGAAGTAATCTTATCTTCTACTACTAATCAATCATCTAGGGAATTGTAGATGTATATATTTTACTGTACTCACCTTAATTTGCCGGCATATTCCGTTTCTATGACCACTCGATCGCGTAAAAAATTGGCATATTTATCGAGCACTTCAATGCCTTTGTTTGTGTGTATTGAAAGATTATCGTACTGATCCTGCAAATGAAATAAAACGACACATGATGCGGATTAGTTGAAAATCCTTTTTTTTATTTTTATAAATTGACATTGAGCCAGCAAAGAGAAACTTAATTGCGTGTGCAAATCAGCAAATCAAGAAATCTGCGCTCCACAAAAATTTAATTGAGTTTTGTATTTTATTAGAGCAGTAACTGCGTCACAGCATGCGAGTGGCAACAACGTGGCGTATACGCAATACAGTCACATTAATGAAATTTAATTGAATTATATGTAAGATTAAGATAGCGGGCTTTCAAGTAGTGTGTGGATAAAGATCGCAATATAGCTTTTCAATTAGCTGCCATAATTTAAGCAATTTGCCAAATGCTTCAACAACTAAAAGCGATCTATTTAAACAATAATTATCCGACAAGGAAGTAATGAAATGTTAGCCTGCACCCAGCTGTATCATCAACATTGTAATGTATTGGAATTTATAAAAATCGCAGTCGTTTGCTAGCTCTCTCTATTTCTCTCCGTCTCTAAACATTTCTCTCACCCTCTTTTTTTTTTGTCAATACTAATCTCTCACTTAATTAATGGAATTACCTCACTCTCTCTCTCTCTATTGAACTCATGCACTCCTGCATTATCACCAAAAGAATATAAATCTGTAAGCATTACCTGATTTTTTGAAAATCGCAGAGAAAGGCGATATGCATAAGTAAGTTCTCTATTGACTCATTTCGTTGCCCTGATAAATGTAGAAATATAGATAGAGATAAAGACAGGTAATTAAAGAGATACAGAGATACAGAGAGAGAGAGAAAGAGGAATAGAGATATCCTTCATCTCAGCCCATTTTTAATCGGTTCTGCCTATAAAAATAAGCAGAAAAATACAAAGCTATCAAATGCCATAAAGAGACTGGCTCCAATTAGCAGCTACTGCAAACGATTTAGATTCAATATTATGCTAAACGTTAGCAAACGAAATAAGTCATTTACAGTAGTTGCCGCAAATATGGAAGTCGTCAAGCTGTGCAACTTCCTCAAAGCCCGGTGACATAATGCTCGAGATATGCTGCGGCAATTTGCAATGCCATTCAATACACAATTTGTCAATAGAGAGGCAAAACAACAAAATGTGCTCCACTTTTTACTTTTTCGCACACAACAAAAATAACAACAATAAAAATAAAAGGAAAAAAAAAATAAAATAAAACAAAATACGTAACATCAAAAGACGTGGCCAATCACGCCCACAAAACCAAAACAACAATAAAACAATAGCAACAAACTCGTCAACTCGGCAAACAAATTGAATTCAAAGCATTCAAAAAACGGCAAATAGACCAAGTTTAAAGCTGGCCCCAAACATGCAAATTTGCATAAGCTGCACAAATTCAAAAAACAATTACATAATGGAGCACAGTTACAGGTTGTTATCATGATCATGATCAACATCAGTCCTCAATAACAAACTATTTGGGACACAAGCTTTACGTTTTTTGGGTCTTCTTCATTCGACTTGCATTTCGTATACCCTGTACTCGACAAAAGTGGACATAGATGGGCAGTTAGCGAAGCTATCAGAAAGTTTTTATCAAATGAAAACCACATCTGGGTATTTAATAATATTCCAACTGAAGCATTTTTTAACACATTTGAAGATAAGAAGCTTTTGGTATTTCTTATGGATCAAGGGTATCTGGCCAGTTGGGCACAGGCTTTGTCTTTTTTGTTTATTTTTTTTTTTATATTTTGTTTAATGTGTAGCGAATTTAAATTTGTCTCGTTTGCATTGATCAGTGAAATTTGGCAATGTTGCTCGCTGCCTTCGACAATTTTCACTCGATTTTTGAAGGTAACTCGCACACATTTAGTTAAAAAACACAACAACAACAACAGAAAACTATTTATGTGGTATTTGTAGAATTTTTTGTCACACAACTTTCACTCGGTGCGTGTGGGTGTGACCCCCGAAAGAAAAGCATTTTTGTGGTTGCACAAAAACTAATCAAGAAAATGGTCAGGAAAATGCGGCACGCCCGCCCGCCACACACGTGAGCGAGTTAATTGAGTGGCGAATGTTGCAACGTTTGGGCAACTGCCACTGTGTCATGCATAATGCATGCGCATTGTTGTTGTTGTTGCTGCTGTGGCTAAAAATGTGGGTGGCAGCTTGTCAAGCAGCGGGCCTAAAGCACCGAAGTGCCAACTGCTGCAGTTCGCATTACTAAAATGCCCGAGGGATTCAACTAGGCCAGGCCAAAACCAAATTACTTTTGAAATTTATTTAGTTCGCTTTTTTTATTATCAATTTTTTTTTTTTTTTTGTAGCTGCCGCTGCGGCGCTTGCGCAACAAACCTGCCAGCGGGAAATTGATTTTACAAGTGATCTGCTCTGTGCCAGTTTATTTTTTAAACACTTTGCTGATTAAATGGGCGCATGCGAGTGGCAAATCGTTTGCGTCTGGGCAGGAAAGTTGCGATTAGCGCCATTTATATAAAGAGCTAATAACAGGTGAGCGGCACAAACATTAATTAAATTGTAAATAAATTATGTTCGGAGACAGCCAGAGAACAGCGATAATAATCACTTTCTTGAGGTCTTTGAAAAAAAAACGCAAGCTGCAGCTCATTTAAAACTCAGCCAACATCTTTAAAAAGAGTTGCACGCATTCTTGCAATATTTCTCAACAGTTAGACATTAATTAATTAATTATACAATTTATAGTATTCTTAACTATGTCAGACATATTTTGCAAATGTTGCACAATCTTAATGATTTTTAAAAATTATTTGTACATATATTATTTTTAATATTTCACAATATTAGTTAGCTATTGAAATAAAAATTGCCTAACAAATGCACAAAAACCACAAGCTAATTTTGGGTTTCGTAAGCAATTTTGTAACATTACATTTTTAACTACTTTAAGTTCTCGACAGTCTAGACACTTATCTCTGTTAAATATTAGCTGTAAGACCTATTCTGAAATATATTCATTTGATTTGTTAACTCAGTTTGGCGACTTATGAGCTGATCAATGCTGATTCACAGATTAAAATGCTGCTCAGTTATGCTGGGTATTGGGGCTCATCTCTATGCACGCGGCGAGTCCAACGTTGACATTGACAGACGACTCTGGAGGTTATTTGCCAATCGGAACGGAGCACATTGGATCGCATAGTTAACCTTGACCAGGCGGCTGGCAGGCAGTCAACGAGCAAATGTTTCGCGCGCTCCGGCTATAAAAGGCGGATAGCACAAACACGTACATATACAAGCATGCTTATAAGGAGCAAGGGTTTAAAATTGGCATGCCAGGGCCGCCTCCCGCCGGCTGCGCTGACTGCTGGCTGCTGACTCCAACTGGAGACAGACTCCCCAGTGCAGCATGTGGCGGCACGCGATGCCAAATGAGGAGCGCTGGCAGATGGCAGCAACAAAGTTGCATGGTTTCAGCTGAGGCTGCGGCTGTGGCAGCTACGGGTTGGTTGGGTTGGCTTGGGTTAATAACCTTTCGATATTGAAGATAAGCAAAGATAAACATTTAAATAATATTTATTTATTTCAGAGAGTCACAGAGATTAATGTCGCAATGACCGAAAATGCTGGCCAATAAATCATGGCGAAAGCTGAACAACAACACAAAAAAGAAACAAACTACAAGATGAGGGGAGTACAGCGGGCTAGCAAATGTCATCAGGCACACTTCAACTTCAAATCCATCGAGTTATTAGTCGCAGCAACACCAATCCCCAAAATCACTAACCAGTCGACGCTTTCACTGATACCACTCATGTCTCTAGCCGCGCACACCCGTTGGCCCCGCGCAAGCCACCCCTTATTATCGCCAAAGACAATCAAGTTAATGTAACAATAAGAATCTAAAGACAACACAATAAGTTTCCACTTTCCCAGCAAAAGAAATAGAAAAGAAATACGAACAACAATGACAATAAAAACCAATAAAGAAATTAACAAATTGGTGAGAGAAAAAAGATGCAGCAAATAGCAACAAAACACGACAGAAACAAACAAAAATTAAAACCAAAAGTGTTAAATTCGTTCAAAGATTGTCATCGATTGAGCGGGAAATGTGAGCAATCAATGTGAAATGGAATCGCTGCAGCCACAACATAAGGGCGTTTCCATTGCCCAGACCCCATCCGATCTGAGTGGGGGGGGGCCTTCAGGTCGGACACATGGCCACTGGGTCAAGATTGAAATTTGAGCGATTGATTAAGGCACTCGCAATCGCACTCGCACTCGGAGTCACACTCTGCGAGACTCTGCATTGTTGAAGTTCATTAAATTAATCGTGCCTCTGTTTCGATTCGTTACGATTTGTTTTCTTACTTTATTTTATTGTATTTTATTATGTTGTTATTTGCTCGTGACAATTGATCAAAACATAAGTTGAAAGATTAAAAATGCAGTCGAAATGAGCACAAGCTGAGGAAATGCTGAAACGTGACTGTTCAAGTTCTAAAATCCATAATAAATTCGTTTTTATAATCCAACTGTCGTGAAATTGTCGCATTTGAATCGATTTCAAAGCCATTTTTATCATAACGTTTCCTTAAGCTGCATTACTTTCTTTTCAATGTTGTTTCATTTCTTAAATTTAAACTAATAATTATATTTAATTATACTTCAAATTTAATTACATTTATTTTTACTAAAAACCTAACTGAATCATTCTCTTGTGGTTTTCAAAACCGATTTTGAATAAATAACTTGGGCCCCGCAAATGGATTTATCTAACCACAGTCTTGCCCAGTTTTGGTGTATATCAAATATAGCGCGCCTCTTGTATATGAAAATAATTACGACTTGGACTATTTTCAGTAGTACAGACGCGCAGTTTTATATTCAAAATTGAATTGTTATATTAAAATTGACAAAATATGTGACTAAATAAATTTTAAGCCGAAACCTGGTTTCAACGAGGTGTAAGCCTGGGTTCGAGCAGTAAACCTAAATAAAGACATTTCGATCTGGGTCTTATACTTATTTATAAATAA